ACTAGAAGGCTGAAATATTGTGGGCGTGTCCCTCCCCACGTGCGACTCAGAAGATTTAAATTCAGTCTTCCCCTGCTCGCAGGCAACACGTTGCGGCCCCGTAAAAGTTTTGGCGGGTAAATTACTATCTCGCGAACCGTAAAATCTAGGAAACTGAAATTTTGAGGCGATAGCCCCTTCCACACGTACGACTTGGCAAATTCAAATTCAGCGTTCCCACACTTCCGGGTATCACCTACAGTCTCGTGAAAATTTTGGCGGAGAAATTATTATCTCGGGAAAAATAAAAGTCAAGAAGTTGAAATTTTGCAGTAACATGTCCTATTCCAATATAATTCCGCAAATTTAAACTCAGCCTTCCCGCACGCCCGAACATACCACCTTATGGCCCCGTGAAAGTTTCGGCGGGGAAAATTATTATCTCGGGGACCAGGAAAGTTGGGAATTTGTATTTTTTGGGCGATGTCTCCTATCAACGTACGGCCTCCGTTGGATTCAGCCTTCACGCACCTTTGAGTACCACGTATGGCCCCGTGGAAGTTCTGGTAGGGGATTACCTCGTGAACTGCAAAAGCTAGAAAGCTGAATTTTTAGTGTGGCATCCCCTGCCCACGTACGATCCCGCAAATTTTCAACATCCTCATGGAAGTTTTGGCGAGAAAAAAATCATTACCTCGGGAGCCAGAAGAGTTAGGAGGCTGTCAGCAGAATGTTTCCTGCCTAAACAGAGGCTTCATAAAACTTGAATTCAGTTCCCAAGTATGCCGAGGTCTCACGCACGACCAAGTGGAAATCTTGTCTCAAGGATCATTCGAAAGCCAGAAAATTAGGAGATTGAAATTTCGGAAGGGTATTCACCTTTCCAGGTTTCATGTTCAGCTTTCGCCGTGAAATTTTTAATTATTTTTTAACATTTCAACTATTTTTACACAGAAGAAAGTGCAAAACAGTGAAAATCATTAACAGGCAAGCGTTCGGTGGACGGAATTGCAAAAAACGCATGATAGCACCGGCTATTCTCGTGCGCGCTGCTACTTATGCCTTCTGAATCTGTGCGATGTAAAAGCGCATACTGTCGAGGGGTTATCTGACCGATTTTTCATCTCAAGACTTACAAAAGCTATGAGGCTGAAACATTGGCGTTCAGTCTACACCTATATATAGGCAACTAGATGTAGAATGAACATTCACGTCCGTGTGGTACTGGGCACATGGAAGATTTTTTGGCAGGAAAGCGATTTCGGGAACCGCACAAACTAAAAAGGCTAAAATCTTACGAGGGCGTTACTTGCCCATGTTTGACGGTGAGAATTCAAATTTAGCTTTCCCACAAACTTGAGTCTCACGTACGTGCATGTCAAAATTTTAAATCGGTATCATGCCAACCAGAATGAACAATTAGGAACCTGCAAAGTGCTGTAATTTCACGTTTTTTGTCGTGCACTAATGTGTTCGTGAAGGTAAATTGAGCTTTCCAGCCCCTCTGCATCTCACGTGCGGGCACGTGAAATTTTATGGGAACAATTTTGTAACCTCGGAACTAAAACAACTAGAGGCTGAAACTTCTGACCATAAGCGATAAATAGCAACGCGCACCAGACTAGCCGGTGCGATCATGCGTTTTGTGCAGTTCAACCCATCGAACGATTGCCTATTA